AAGTTGGATAGTATGCTTGCGTTCTACCTGTGAGATCCCGGGTTCGATCCCTAGTTGGGTCGATGGATTCGCCCTACTGATGAGACTCGATTAGGTAAAAAAAGCTGGACAGTCCTTCCCAGCTTTTCAGCTCATGCCTCTTCTTATTTGTCTCTGCCCTGCAAAGGAGACCGAGCCATGCAGCTCAGGGTACAATGAGTCAAAGCTCCCTTCATAGGAGTGTCTGGACTGCGGCGTTGCCTGTCGATCCTACTCTGTGATGTCTACTACACTGCCATAGGAGGATTGAATTTTCGTCAAGTACATTGTTCATTTCATTCAGACCTTCTCTCACAGTTATAGGGAAACGTACAAAGATCATGCGAATGCTTGAATACATTCCCAGTATGTGCCAAAGGCGATGACTTAAACTAACAATTTGAGCTTGAACCATACCCACAGGTAAATATCATTGATCACGATCCAGTTAATTGAAAATGGTCGCAAAGTCAACACAGCCGAGTAATCGCCAGTCATGTGAAATTACCAAGATTCACATTGCTTGCAGAAATTAGAGGCTTTACCAATTGCACAACTTGAGTCAATCCCGTGCGTCCTAAAACGTCTGACATTCTCCTTCATTTTACCTTGACTTTCATCTATAGTTGCTTGTGAGCTACAAATATCATAACCGCTTTCACTCCTCTGCTGTATCCTATGTGTATAGATTCTATACGGTTTTGATCCAAGGGTGTGAACGAAAGGATTTCCTCTGGTAACACTTTAAATTGTATAACATATATACGTATTTTATCAAGTATTTGGCCGCAGTTTGAATTTCCAACAAAACGGGTTCTCCTGTTTTCTCTTTTTCTTTCGAGTTTAAATGTTCTCTTCTAACATATTCAAATAAACCGATGTGTTCTATTTCAAGCGCGATGATGAATTGCATAACTTCCATGATTTCTCGCTGTTTTATGCCAGCTGTGGTGCCTAACCATCTCAAACGTGTGAACAGCAAAAGTGTACCACACCGCAATATCATTCTGCCTTTCATTTTGTCCTACAGAGAGCATAATAACATGGTGAATATAGACAGGCAGAAAAAGGAAATAAAAATGTATGAATAAACCCAAAATATCAGCTTTTACAGCGTATGAGTGAGTGAAATTTTCTCGCAGTTGTTCTTTGTTTCACATGTTAGAATTCATCTTCGTGTTTCACTGCAAATTCTCCCTTGTATTGACTGTGTTTGATGCCCATGGTGAATTTGGGCATGGATGGAAGGTGAGCAGTAACCTGTAGGGTGGAATAAATGGAAAATAGAGCAGTTAACTATCGTTTGATAAAAGTAACTCAAACGAACTCCGGACCTAAGAAATAATCTCAATCAATGGAACCTTTAAAGAAATTACTAGGCAGTTGACCCCATAATCGATTATCGGACAACACGAATTCCTCAACCTTGACAAAAATACCAACATTTTCCGACCTAAGTAACTATGTAAATGTCTGTATACGATATTCTTTTTGTAATATTCCACCGTATGCAATGTGCGTAGGCAGTTGATTGAGAGCACGTGAACTCGACGGTCGATACCAATTCTACTCATATGTGTCGCTTTGTTTTTAACAAAGGAATGTTTACCTGTCTACGCCAACTCTAATCTGATTCAGCAATTTCAATACGGTTGCGGAACGACCTTCGTAGGCAGAAGGAAGTAAAAATTACATAACCGGGTGGTTGAGCGTATTGCAACTTGGATCCCAAGTCGAATGAAGCAACCGAGGTCAAATTCTCGGCATAGAGACGAAGATCGCAATTACGAGACTCCGTTATCGGCCACAGTTCGATATCTTTAGATGACGCAACACCAGGTCACCCTAGGAATGATGTTCCTGATGGTTGCAAGGTTGCTCAGGTTTGCAGAAACGAGTGCCATTAACCGATGGAAGCCCGCCCCGCCCGGACAACGTACAGAACATTATGTTACTTTGTACTGGTTATCGTTTCACCCCTCCCTCTTTTATGTTTGCTCCTTTACTGTATTTTAAATTATTTTGTTACCATTAAACATTGTTTTTTCTACTTCATGCACGATGTTGAGATGCTGCGAAATCCTCGTGGGCATAAGTCGGGAAGTATTGCGATACAGTCTTTTCTTTTGAAATTATCAAATGATTTTAATTGCGTAAATTTGCGCGTCCAGAGAGCCAAAAAGGAGATATGTCTATTAAACTCTTGACAAAGTATTGAAAATTGGTTCTCGTAGCTCGGGTGAACTGAATTCTATTTGGTCTGTTCGCCGAGCTTGGCAATTTATATGCAAACGTTTCATCACCAGTCGAGGTGACATCATCAGTGCTTGTGAAGTGGCCACTACACGTTACCACACCAACAGATAACATTCTTTCCCTTCCTAGACTGTTGAAATTTCCTATTCTCGGTTTACCACCTATTATTTATGGTCTCCAATAATGTGCTGCTCAAGACAACGGCAGAAACCACAGTCTTGAGCATCCGCCCAGGTTATTCCGAAAATAGGACTCGTACCCCGGTCGCAGCTGAAGTTAGCGACCTCCAACGTTCGAACGCTTATGCAAGTTGGAGCTCAGGCAACACTCGCTGTCACACTAGAGACGCTTGCCATGGACGTTTGCTGCCTTACTGAGACAAGCCAACAGGATTCGAGCACCATACTGCAACTCATTTCACCGTCTCCGAATTCTGAAAACTCGTTAACCCTCCGCCTCTCCGGAGATCCGATGGTAGACGCCGCTGGTCAGGCCGGCGTGAGGATAGCACTGAGTGCACATGCAGAATTAGCCCTACTCGACTGAATTCCAATCAATAGTCGACTCTGCACCACCCGTCTAGAAGGATCGGTAAATGCATCTTATAATGGGACTAAAAAGCTCTGCCTATTCGTCATCGTGGCTTATGCGCCGACAGACTGCAGTATCGACAAAAAAAGACGAGTTCTACCATCAGGTCGTCAACCGCATCCATAGCAAACAACACACTGACATTGTGCTACTGGCTGGTGACCTGAACGCGCAAGTAAGTAGGTTAGACGCCGACGAACCCTTACCTGTTGGCCAGCATAGCCTCGGTGTTAGGATAACTAACAAAGTCGACCGTCTCCTGAAAATCTGCGCTGAACATGGTCTTCTCCTTCTCAGCACCAATTTTCGCCGACCATGACGCCAACGTGCCACCTGGTGACCTCCATCATCTGATTCGCTCTGGACTCAAATAGATCATTTTACCAACAGCTATCGATGGAGAAACTGCTTAACGGACTACAAATTCATCTGGAGTACATATCAGAGCTCTGATCATGCACTCATGTGCGCCAAATTCTCTCTGCGCTTTTGTGGAAAATAGTAATGTCACCCGAGAAGACTCGATTTGATGAAACCAACCAACCCAAACCTAGTTAAGGCCTACCAAAACATGTCAGATGCTGGTCTAAACAGTCTGTCATCCTCTAAAACTGATGAACAGTGGACTCACATCCGTAACGCCACGCATAAGTCCACCACTACAGCATATGGTCTCACCAAGCGCACAGTTATTCACCGGGTTTCGGCACGTTCTCTAGAACACCCTAGGACACTCGCCGAAACATCCCTCCAGGTAATGAATACAACACAGTTCTCAGGATTATCAGTGCTGAACTGAAACGGTTTCTAAAAGAGGATCGAGAGACCCGGTGAGCACAACGCGCTTCCGAAATGGAACTAGCCTCTGCTTGCGGTAATGCTGACAAACTTTTTCGACTAATCCAAACCATCGGTAACAAAACACCATGCATCAGTGAAACCATATGCAAGACTAATAGTGAACGTATCCACAATCTACAACGTTGGCTTGGGCGCTGGGCGGAGCACTTCCATCAACAATTCCGTTGGCCCTGGACATCACCTCCAACTCCTGATGTACGCAGTGCTCCATGGTCTGTGGACATTTCATCGCCTACCGAGGACGAAGTCTCCCGAGAGGTTAGACTTCTGAAACGCTACAAATTACCCGGTCCAGATTAGCTCCCTCCGGCCCTTTTCAAAGAAGGTGATGAAAGCTTTGTCCGAAAACTAACTTCCCTGTTCCAAACCATCTGAACTACTGAATCCATCCCATCCCAATTTAGTTTGACCCACGTCTTGCCTGTTTTTAAGAAGGGCCCCATCACGATTGCTCCAATCACTGAGGGATTTGTCTCATCTCCGTTGTACACAAGATGTTAACGTCTTTCGAGGGCTCAGTTAAACGAGAGAGCGTCATATCCGCGAAGAACAAGCTGAATCCCACTCTGACCGGAGCAGCATTGATCACATATTTATGCTACATCAGATCCTTGAGCAACGTCCAATGTTCAGTAGACCGACATCGTTGTCTTTTCGGACATACGTACTGCGTTTGACTCAGTTGGCAGAGCAGCTCTCTGGACTTGTTTGTTAGGAAGCGGTGTGCCTAGAAAGTCTACAAACCTTCTTAAATCCGTCTATTTAAACACATCAGGCCGCTTCAATGTCTGTGATCTCATCACTCCTTCATTTACCATCACCAGTAGAGTTCGACAAAGATACTCGGCTCCGCCTTTCCTATTCACTTTCGCAATAGACAAAGTCCTGAGCATCGCTCTAGAAAACTGTAGAGCTTCCGGTATGGAGCTCCTCCAAGGTGATCAACTCCGTGACTTGGAATATGCTGACAACATCGATATACTCTACGACTCCTTCCAGAACGCTTAAAAGTGTAAGTTAGCATTGTCCGCCACGCAGTTTAGAATGACATTTTCTCCATCGATATGTAAGGTTTTACTCAAGGCTAGCAGTAGGCTGCACTTGTCCTCACGCTTATTAACGACCAGTTGGGAATCGTCAATTAAATTATCTTGGGAGTTGTTTCAGCCCAAGAGGTCTGACGTAAGAAACATCAGCACGTATCCGCAAGGCTCGAGTGGCTTTTGCTAACCTACTACACTTGTGGTACCGGCGCGATCTCATTCTCTCCTTGAAAGGCTACGTTTACAATGACACAATACGCACTGTCCTACTCTACGGCTGCGAGAGTTGGCCCCTCTAAATAGAAAACGCACGGAGATTAAGTGTCCTTGGCCACCATTACATTTGTTGTATCGCCCGAATAAGTTGGCAACAGCGAATCATCAACGGCGAGATTCACCGAAGAATTATTACTGCAGACAATCTCTGACGTTCTCTGAGTGCCATCGTCTCGCTCTAGAGACTTCGATGGCTAGGACACGTGTTGCGGATGCCGATTCAACGATTGCCCCATTGTGTTACGTTTGCGCAGGCAGACACCAACTGGAAGCGGTGACAAGGTGGGCAACGAATAACCTGGGCGAAAAACAACGAAGCAGTCAACCC